CAGGCTTGTGGCTGCCCGGTGCCCCCCCTCTAGGAATTCCTTCGCCATTATTTTTTATATATTTCAAAATAAATCTTCGCAAAATTTCAAGTCATTTGGAGTTGCGCATAATATGTATATTTGATGTAGCCCTTTCCGGTCAAGAATTCTAGCTGCCGGCAATCTCCCTCTTCATGTGAAACTTGTAAAATAAGAGAGAAAGGCATAAGAGTTGTATCACAATGTGAAATAACAATCCAAAACACAATAAATAACAGTAAGAAAACATGATGCAAAATGGACGTATCAACTCCCCCAAGCTTAGATCTCTCTTGTCCTCAAGCGAAGCCGATATCGATAATCATGATCACATATTTAGAGAGAGAGAGAGGGAGAGAGAGAGAGAGAGATGTGGTGTCGATATAATAAAATATGGACATAGTAGCATCATGATCATTATCAACAATATATTATCATAAAATTTCTCATGCTAAAGTAACAATTCGTTCACAACTAAAGTATGAAACATATAGTTCATTGGAAACTAACAAAATATGATTCCAGTCATTGAAACAATCACAATTCATCATATTTTCAGAAAGAGTCTATGTAAGAGCTTTGTTTAGCAAGTTCACGTACTCAACTATCATTTAATCTTCTATGATTGCTGACAGTCAAAGCATATTTATAGAGCAAAAGTTTCAGTCATACACATAGAAATATAGGGTCTTATAGTTTTGCCTCCCAACTTATTTACCTCAAGGATACTGTCAACAATAATTACTCATGATCATCTATATTTAACAGAGTACTGGAGTTGCTTTGATGTGTATGGGTTCAAGAGGCATAAACTAGAAGTGTGTATGGGTGGTAGGTAAATTTGATGCAGTTATGCACTAACCCAAGAAGCATGACAACCCCAAGCCTCAAGCCTCTTATGATCGTAGATATTAGAAAGCAACCATCCCGTCATTATTTCAAACATTGATATTCCTTCTAAGACAATTTTGGAACGTTCTTGCCTTTTTGCAGTCATGTATGTCAGTTTTGCATAGATTGAAGAGATGCCACTTCATCTAATTTATGTGCTTATACTTTTTTTCCAACGTTCTTTCTATTTTACGTAGCATCACTGAAACTTCACTACCTGGGCTGATCAAGTTGGAATCTGGTCTTACTTCGTGTGTTGGTCTTGGGCTATACCGATAAAGTACATTTCCACTAGATGATTTAATTTCCATTACTCATGTTGTTTTATAGCATGGCTGTGCTCACACATTATATCTCAATACTGTCTTTAAATTTGAATGGAAATGATTTTTTCAGACTTCACCCTGCAAATTGTAATCTGAATGTTGTAAAAAAAGAAACAATACTTCTCTTGTAAGTGAGGTACCTTTGACCAGACAAGATAGACGAAACTAGCGTGGTCGTTTATGATAGAATTGTAGCTGATGCATGATTGAGGTGGTGATGATGGTTATAGTGAACAATGACAGAGAGCTGCTTAGAGGTGGTTTCTGGAGCACGCAATGCTATTATGACTTGGAGCACTACAGAATGATGTCAAGTTCCTTTATATTTGGTGTTTTGTTTCACCGAGTTTGTGTCAAACAATGATAGTGTGTTCCGTAAATGGTTTCCTTCAGATTTATAGTTTTTCAGGATCCAATCTATTCCACCAAATTCAACTGACCATTGCGCACACCATTTTTGTGCATCATGACTTGGATTGAGAGCAACTGCGCCACATTACATACACCGCTCTTTACTTTTGATAGTCTTACTACAAATTTTACCATACAATTTTTGCCATGTGTCTTTCTGTTTCTTTCAAAATGACTTCTTGTCATATCGTTCTTTAATATACTACCCCTTTCGTCCGTAAGATGTTTTTTGACAGTACCTATCATTCCATATTAAAAACTGAAGGGTGTGGCAATGCGTGCCTTCAATGATCTAGCATATTCGTAAGTCAAGTTCTTTGTCGTGTGTCCTTCTACAGATACTCGGCTTACATTCTTACAAGCCGTGAACCCATGTTTTAACACTCGCCGTATTTATAGTTACTAGAGACGTTTGTTTTTCCTGTAGTGGGGAGAGAGGCTGCAGCAGGGAGGAGATCCACCGACGACCTACCATGAATAAACCAATTCTGTATGAATCTCTACGCATAAGATCCGATTGCTTCCATTAATTGAGCTATTTGTCTACGGTCAAAGTTACTCTGAAGACTGTGACAATACGCTAGCCTGGCCTTTTTATCATGCTCTCGTGTTAAATAAAATGACAAGTTGATTTTTTATAGGGGAAATGACTTGATGAGACGTCGAAGAAAGTAAACAAACAATAAGCCGAACGCTTCAGATCTCGAACTCCATCTATTCAAAATGTCTTCTATTCACAATACACATACACTGGAATGATCAAAGCGATTAAAATGGTTTAGGAGCAGAGCACTCGCTGTGGATCGGTAATCTTCTTGTTGGTTCACCATGAACTCTAGCGTGCGAGTTCTCAAGGTCACCCGTGTCCACCCTGCCGGTGCCACTGCCGCCGACGACCACGAGCTCTCCTTCTTCGACGCCATGCACATCGCCGAGATACCGATTCAGCGGCTCTTCTTCTTCGACGGCCCGGGCCTCCCGCCGTTTGCGTCCCTCGTAAGCGCCCTCAGGTCCTCTCTAGCCGACACCCTCGCCGTTTTCTTCCCACTCGCCGGCGAGCTGGTTTTCCGCCCCTCCTCCGGTTCTGTCGTCGTCGACTGCTCCACGGCCGCGGGTGTCAGGTTCGTGGAGGCCGAATACTTGGGAAGCGCCGACGACATGCGCCGCCTGGCCCGCCAGGACGAGCATGCCACCAAGGAATTCTTGCAGCTTGTCCCGGACATGGAAGTGATGCAGCTGCCCGCAGCCGTTCTCGCCGTGCAGGTCACCAGGCCGGCGGTGGGCTACGACGCCGTGGCAGTAGGGGTGTCCATCCTGCACGCGGTCGTCGACGGCCAGGCCGTGTGGCAGTTCATGCGGGCGTGGTCCACGGCGTCGCGGGAGGGTGCCGCCGCGCCAGGGAGGCTTGAACCACCGCCGACGTTTGACCGGGCCGCGATCCTGCAGCATCCCATGGCAGTGGAGCTGTCCAGAGAGTTCCTGCGCTTTTTCGCGCCGGCGCTGCCTCTGGTTGGTGACCAAATCTCAAATCTTACTAGTATCATTTTTTTTGAGGGACAATTCCTTTCCTCCACCCACTAACATGCACGAACAATTTAATGGCGCAGCTGACGTCACCATCCTCGTCGTTCAGGACATCCACAGTAGACACCACGGAGCAGATCCTACGGACCTTCGTGCTCACCGCCGACAGGATCCGGTCCCTGAAGCAGCTGTGCATTCTGCAAAATGGAACTACCGGCACCCAGCCGCCGACCAGCACCTACGTCGCCGTCTCGTCCCTAGTATGGGCGTCCCTCGTCCGCGCCAAGTCCACGGACGAGGACCACGCGGAGGACGCCCACTTCACGGTGGTCGCGGACTGCCGCGGCCGGCTGCGGCCGCCGCTCGGCGAGGGCTACTTCGGGAACTGCGTCAGGGCGTGCTTTGCGAGGGTGAACATTGGCGACTTGTGCGGCGAGGGTGGGGTTGCGCTCGCCGCCAGGGCCATCCAGGAACGCATCCGGGAGGACCTGGATCGAGCCTCCGACCCGCTGGAGGGGATGGATCGCGTGCTGGAGGTCGTCCACGGCACCCCCAAGGAGCGGCTGACCTCTGTGGGGTCGTCGCATCGGTTCATGGCGTACGAGACGGACTTCGGGTGGGGCGCCCCGAGCCGCGTCGAGCTGGTGTCCAGGTTCACGCCGGAGCTGGTGACGCTGCTCGGAGCGAAGGAGGCCGGCGCCGTGCAACTCTCCGTGGCGCTTCGCCGGCCCTTGATGGAGGCATTCGCGGCCAACTTCCTTACGCTGGCCGGGAGCAGCTAGACAATTAGAACTATATATCTATTTTATGTTGCACTTGCGCACAATAATAGGAGCCAACTAATTTGGGAAAAAGTTAATTTTTTGCTTTTTTCGATTAATAATTTTCTGTTTGGGATTGCTAAATCTCAGTCAGCTGAGACCAAGTCTAGATCTTAGTCATTGCTATCTTCGTGAGATCTTACATGAAGATTTGTGTATTTTTCTATAATTTCTATATGTTAAGTCACTTGATTGAGACTTAAGTCTCAGTCGATTAAAATCTTGCCACACCCTTTTCTGTTTGATTACCGGACGATGCCCTTGTTGACGAAACTTCATGCATTATTATTTCCTACTTGATTTCTCCTCCCGTGTAGGTACGATCGAGTCAGTCTATATCAGGAATAGTAATTACATTGCATGCAGAAAAAACAAAAGTGATAATGTTTGACTATATTATTCTCAAATTCAAATTCAAATGATTTGTATCTCAAACCGTCGGCCCGATTTAAAATCCATTTTCATCACTAAATTCGTCGTGACAAGGTTTTAAAATTAAACCTCATGTTGATATGTTCTGATGATTTTTTTCTAGGTCAAAATTTACCATGCCTGAAATATGTAAGTTATCATAATAGTGTTTACACTCAAGTTACCATGGACATAAAACTAGTTTCCATAACCTTCTCCCCGCATGCACATGCATGCATGCAATATAAAACAAAAACTGATGCACCCAAGATTTTTCTTAAAAAAATATCATTTGTAGCTTGAATCGTTATTACAAATCAAAACATATTTCCACTATCAAATCCCTCGCAACAAGATTTTCAAAATTAGATCCCATGTTGATAATTTTGATCACTTTTTTGGTATACTGAATCTACAAACTTCAACACTTCTCTTTTGGTATACTGAATTACTAAAGATACAATGTCTTCTCATTACGAAATACCGCAGATAACTTGACGATAGCACTCTGGTTCCTCTCACACTTCATTGGAGACATCGACGAGGTAGTACTCCTCCCAAACCCTAACTGCCATACTTTTGCAAGTGATTTTGTTGTGGGTTGCAAGTATACCTGGCCATTAGCCGGGCCGGGCCTATCAAAACCCGACATAGAAAACCTAGGCCCAAGCCAGGCCAGGCCCGACCACCGGGCCTAAAAATCAGGCCCAAGCCTAGCCCATGATTCAAAAAGTCCGCCAGGCCTTGGCCCGAGTCTCTTCCTTAAACAGCAAAATACGGTAGGCCCGAGCCTGGTCCGGCCATCAAGCTCAAAATCTAGGCCCAGGCCTGTGGGCAAGGTCGGGTCGGGCCAGGTCGGGCTTTTTTCCTGTTGATGCGACAACAAAAAATAGCATGCGCAAGCAAGAGATCGCCTGATTGAGAGAGCAGCGCAATCACCACAAGGATAACTACGCACTTGTGACAATAAACTTCTTTCCTTTCTATTATTCTTTCTCCAGGTCGTTCGTTAGTTTCTGGACGTTTTTTCTTGTTCCTTTTTCGTTTTTTCTTTTATCGTTTCTTTTTCTTTTTTTCTTTCCTTAAATGCGTGAACTTTTTATCAAATTCGATGAACTTTTTTCAAATTCAATGAACTTTTTTTAGAATCGACAAACTTTTTTGAAATTCGATGAACTATTTTCAAATTCAATGATTTTATTCAAATTTGATGAACGTTTTCCAATTTTGATGAACTTTTTTCAAATTCCATGAACCTTTTTTTTCTAAATCAATGAACCTTTTTTCAAAACCAATGAACTTTTTTTCAAAACCGATGAACTTTTTTTCAAAATCGCTGAAACTTTTTTCAATTTTGTGAACTTCTAAAAAGTTGATGAACTAGTTTTCAAAATCAATGAACTTGTTTTTCAAAATCAATGAACTTTTCAAGTAACTTTCAGATTTATGTTAATGTTTCACTAAAAGAACGGTTAAGTAGCACTTTTTCCTATTTGTAGGGCAACATAACGTGTTTGGTCTAGTGGTTCTTGCGTTAGTGGACAAAAGACGTGTGATCCTGAGTTCAAAACCTAGCTTCCGCACTTTTTCTTCACGTTTATATTTTCGCATCGAGCGCCAGAACTCAAAACCGCCACTGGCGG